AAAAAAAAAAAAAAATGCCAAAAATGTTAATATTTTTGGAACTGCTGGTACATGAATTTTTCTAAGAAAATTAGGCATACAGTTATAATAATCATACGTCTCAGATATCGTGTTATCATGTATAGCTGCGTATAAAACGTTATCCACTGGCGATGATAAAATACACATTTAGCAACAAAAATGTACATATCATATCGTGCAAAAAATTGTACATTTTTTTCAGTTTTTTTTTTTATCGCAATCAGCTCGCATGAAGTAAATAAAACTTTGAAGAATTTTTTATCGAGTACACTTTGGCTTCAGTCGGTTCTGACACTACATCATGAACATAAATTTCGAAAACAAGCGTATTCTCGTCACAGGTGGTTGCCAGGGTAAACATGAAATTTTATTTACGATCCAAAAACTTCATAATCTGCATTTTACGGAACTGAAAAAATTTACTTAAAGGTATTGGCAAGGAGATATGTTTGCGCCTATCAAAGTACAAAGGCACAGTTATTGCACTATCAAACAACAAAGAAAATCTCGACAAATTGTCAAAAAAATATCCTGAAATACAAACAATTTTTGTTGATCTTCTGGACTGGGATGCCACAAGAGCTGCTGTCAAAACCATCTTGCCAATCGATTTGTTGGTCAACAATGCTGGGATTGGAATATTTGCACCTTGTCTAACAGCGTCGCCGGAGGACTTTGATTTGACGTTTGGCGTCAACGTCAGGGCAATGTTGAACGTGTCACAGGTTGTGGGACAAAATTTGGTCGAGAGAGCATCGCCCGGCAGCATAGTTAATCTGTCGTCTCAAACCAGCCGTGGAGCTATTCACAACAGCCTTATCTACTGTTCGTCCAAGGCTGCTGTTAACATGTTGACCAAGTAAGAATTTGTTTGGCATATAAAAAAAAATTTTAACTTCATTGTTAATTAAATACATCATTTTTGAAGTTGTTATCACAAAATGAAAAAAATTTTATAACCGTTTAGGACAATGGCATTAGAACTGGGGCCGAAGAATATTCGCGTCAACTGTGTGCTACCAACTGTGTGTTTGACGGGTTTAGGAAAACTTTTTATCGACGATGAAAAAAGATCCAATATGATGAAAAATCGCATTCCACTCGATCGGTTCGTAGGTAAATATCTTAGTGCTAGTACCATTTGGTTATAAAATAAAAATAATGTCAGATAAATTTATCTATGCTTCACAGAACCCAACGAAATAGTCGACGCAGTGATATTTTTACTTAGCGATAGGAGTTCAATGATAACTGGAGTTGAACTTCCAATCGATGGTGGATTCTTGGCTACATGAGGATTATTATTTTTAATGTCTTTGTTACAAGATTTTTCATTTTTGTACGAAACAATAACGAAATTTTTTTGTTAGCAACATGCGTTCACTCGTTTAAGAGTTGAGTTGGTAACGCTTTGGATATAAAATAATAACGAATAATAATATAAGCAAAATGTGTTAAAAGCATGGAAATAAGAGTGTGAACTTAAATTCATGATTACGTAAGTTTGTGGATTTTATTTTTTCCCCAAGATTACTGACTCAAAAAATATATAATTTAAACTCGAAGATAAATAAATTAAACTCACAAAAAAAATCAAGATCGTTACTCTTATCAAGTAGTATTTATTCGCGAGCTTATTTTAGAAAACTGCTAGTTGTTTTACGGATTTCATTACTCGCTTTATTTGTCGTCACGACGCAAAGTATTGTTGAAAAAAAAAAAAAGCAAAAACATGAATATCACTTTCGAAAACAAACGTATTCTGGTTACAGGTGGTTGCCAAGGTAAGCGTCACGACTCGTACGAGGCACTTTGTACTTATTCACGATAACCCGAAATTTATCACTTTAGGTATTGGTAAGGGAATATGCCTACGATTGTCCGAGTACAAGGGCACAGTCATCGCGTTGTCCAACAACAAAGACAACCTCGCCAAACTGTCCCAAGAGTACCCAAACATCCGGACCGTGTGCGTGAATCTACTCGATTGGGATGCGACGAGAGAAGCTGTGAAAAATGTCCTGCCCATCGATCTACTGGTGAACAATGCCGGGATAGGATCTCACGGGTCTTGGCTTAAGGTGACGTCCACAGATTTCGACGACACGTTTGGGGTGAACGTCAAGGCGATGTTCAACGTATCTCAAGTTGTCGCGCAAAATATGATCGAGAGAAACGTAAAATCAGGTGCCATTGTCAATTTATCTTCGCAAGCTGGTGTATCAGTGCTTAAGGATTGCACCGTTTATTGCTCCACAAAAGCTGCTGTGAACATGTTGACAATGTGAGTCTTAGTTTAATTTCAAGTTTTTATTTATTGAATTAGTTTTATTTTATATCAACCACTTTGTAGGTCACTAGCACAGGATTTGGGACCTCACAATATTCGAGTTAACTGCGTACAACCTNACTGTAATTACTTATGATTATACTCTTACCTCACTGCTGTTCAGAAATATTTTTTTAGTTTTCCAAAGCCTAGATTCACTTCAGTAAAATTACGGCAACTCCTAAAGTTAAGAGCAAGTTTGTAAGAGTAATACTTTCGTAAACAACAATGAACGTAACTGCGTACAACCTACTGTGGTGATGGCAGGTATGGGAAAAATTTTTATCACAGATTGTAAAGAAGCCGAGGATATGAAGAACAGAATTCCCTTGGGTCGCTTTGCAGGTACATACGGATTTCTATTTTTCTCCGTTAATGTGAAATTATTTAGGTTATTTAAAAAAAACATTTTTCAAGCTCACGTATTAAAAAAAAAAAAAAAATGCCAAAAATGTTAATATTTTTGGAACTGCTGGTACATGAATTTTTCTAAGAAAATTAGGCATACAGTTATAATAATCATACGTCTCAGATATCGTGTTATCATGTATAGCTGCGTATAAAACGTTATCCACTGGCGATGATAAAATACACATTTAGCAACAAAAATGTACATATCATATCGTGCAAAAAATTGTACATTTTTTTCAGTTTTTTTTTTTATCGCAATCAGCTCGCATGAAGTAAATAAAACTTTGAAGAATTTTTTATCGAGTACACTTTGGCTTCAGTCGGTTCTGACACTACATCATGAACATAAATTTCGAAAACAAGCGTATTCTCGTCACAGGTGGTTGCCAGGGTAAACATGAAATTTTATTTACGATCCAAAAACTTCATAATCTGCATTTTACGGAACTGAAAAAATTTACTTAAAGGTATTGGCAAGGAGATATGTTTGCGCCTATCAAAGTACAAAGGCACAGTTATTGCACTATCAAACAACAAAGAAAATCTCGACAAATTGTCAAAAAAATATCCTGAAATACAAACAATTTTTGTTGATCTTCTGGACTGGGATGCCACAAGAGCTGCTGTCAAAACCATCTTGCCAATCGATTTGTTGGTCAACAATGCTGGGATTGGAATATTTGCACCTTGTCTAACAGCGTCGCCGGAGGACTTTGATTTGACGTTTGGCGTCAACGTCAGGGCAATGTTGAACGTGTCACAGGTTGTGGGACAAAATTTGGTCGAGAGAGCATCGCCCGGCAGCATAGTTAATCTGTCGTCTCAAACCAGCCGTGGAGCTATTCACAACAGCCTTATCTACTGTTCGTCCAAGGCTGCTGTTAACATGTTGACCAAGTAAGAATTTGTTTGGCATATAAAAAAAAATTTTAACTTCATTGTTAATTAAATACATCATTTTTGAAGTTGTTATCACAAAATGAAAAAAATTTTATAACCGTTTAGGACAATGGCATTAGAACTGGGGCCGAAGAATATTCGCGTCAACTGTGTGCTACCAACTGTGTGTTTGACGGGTTTAGGAAAACTTTTTATCGACGATGAAAAAAGATCCAATATGATGAAAAATCGCATTCCACTCGATCGGTTCGTAGGTAAATATCTTAGTGCTAGTACCATTTGGTTATAAAATAAAAATAATGTCAGATAAATTTATCTATGCTTCACAGAACCCAACGAAATAGTCGACGCAGTGATATTTTTACTTAGCGATAGGAGTTCAATGATAACTGGAGTTGAACTTCCAATCGATGGTGGATTCTTGGCTACATGAGGATTATTATTTTTAATGTCTTTGTTACAAGATTTTTCATTTTTGTACGAAACAATAACGAAATTTTTTTGTTAGCAACATGCGTTCACTCGTTTAAGAGTTGAGTTGGTAACGCTTTGGATATAAAATAATAACGAATAATAATATAAGCAAAATGTGTTAAAAGCATGGAAATAAGAGTGTGAACTTAAATTCATGATTACGTAAGTTTGTGGATTTTATTTTTTCCCCAAGATTACTGACTCAAAAAATATATAATTTAAACTCGAAGATAAATAAATTAAACTCACAAAAAAAATCAAGATCGTTACTCTTATCAAGTAGTATTTATTCGCGAGCTTATTTTAGAAAACTGCTAGTTGTTTTACGGATTTCATTACTCNATATCTTACTACGTAAGTTTCCGTAAAAACTGAGAATGCCTTCATAAATCACGGAAAGTAAAAATTTAATCGTTTTTTGTTCCAGTAAATCTATTTTGGATAATGTAAAACTTTAGGGCTCACTATTTTTAGAAAAAAATATTTGTAAAAGATATACCTCAAACAGATTAATAAAACTTGCAACTATGGAAATATGTTAAATGTGTATTTAAAATTAATCCTCTGTTGACGTTGTATATTTAAAAATAGAAAGATAATCAAAGGACGTTAAAATCACAGTTACTAAAAACTGGATATTGTTGATTCTTCGATTTATCAACTCACACCCAAACAAAATTCGGTTTGTATAACGAAGCCGTTATCAAACATCTACTGAGACTGCAGTAAAGTGTCACCTTCGAAAATAAACTTGAAACTGTTAGTGACGGGTTGTTTTTCAGATAAGTTTTTTTATCATTGCATTTCATACTTTTTATCCATCAATTTGTTGGATGGAGGGAGAATTAAAAATTTAATCCAACATTCAGTGTTGATTCCTTGGTACAAAGTGTTACAATATACTTACAGCATGTACATACAAAATCGTCGGATGATAAGAGGTGTTGAAATATATTGACTGTAACAAACGAATAAATTACGTTACCCAAATTCAAAAAATCATGCAATAAAATACAATAAGTCTGATTTTGAATCGTAGATGATTTATGGTTGATTGTACACGAAAATCTGCTGCTACGTTATTATCATCTTTATCTCAAGTAAACTTGACCTCTTGGTTCTCAGTTACATATACACACACATAACGTGTCTCCGTTGTACCAATGACTGATCTCCTCAGTCCTCACCGTACGTACTATTGGTCTCCCTTTCCATCAGCACATTTTACTCACACAAAAGCAAGATTCTCATAGCAGTAATACACACAGTGCAGCTCTATAGAGTTGGAAAGTTTGGTGTTTTCAGTGTGAAAAATTTCCTTAAATTAGACAAAATGAACATTTCCTTTGAGGGCAAGCGAATCCTTGTCACGGGAGCCGGTCAAGGTAACGTTGCTGAATATACAGTTTATCTTCATTGTTCGTTGACTATTGACGTTTGTTGGATGCACTTTGTTTGTCGTCACGACGCAAAGTATTGTTGAAAAAAAAAAAAGCAAAAACATGAATATCACTTTCGAAAACAAACGTATTCTGGTGACAGGTGGTTGCCAAGGTAAGCGTCACGACTCGTACGAGGTACTTTGTACTTATTCACGATAACCCGAAATTTATCACTTTAGGTATTGGTAAGGGAATATGCCTACGATTGTCCGAGTACAAGGGCACAGTCATCGCGTTGTCCAACAACAAAGACAACCTCGCCAAACTGTCCCAAGAGTACCCAAACATCCGGACCGTGTGCGTGAATCTACTCGATTGGGATGCGACGAGAGAAGCTGTGAAAAATGTCCTGCCCATCGATCTACTGGTGAACAATGCCGGGATAGGATCTCACGGGTCTTGGCTTAAGGTGACGTCCACAGATTTCGACGACACGTTTGGGGTGAACGTCAAGGCGATGTTCAACGTATCTCAAGTTGTCGCGCAAAATATGATCGAGAGAAACGTAAAATCAGGTGCCATTGTCAATTTATCTTCGCAAGCTGGTGTATCAGTGCTTAAGGATTGCACCGTTTATTGCTCCACAAAAGCTGCTGTGAACATGTTGACAATGTGAGTCTTAGTTTAATTTCAAGTTTTTATTTATTGAATTAGTTTTATTTTATATCAACCACTTTGTAGGTCACTAGCACAGGATTTGGGACCTCACAATATTCGAGTTAACTGCGTACAACCTACTGTGGTGATGGCAGGTATGGGAAAAATTTTTATCACAGATTGTAAAGAAGCCGAGGATATGAAGAACAGAATTCCCTTGGGTCGCTTTGCAGGTACATACGGATTTCTATTTTTCTCCGTTAATGTGAAATTATTTTTTAAAGAATCAAAATGGTCATGTAAATAAAAAATTACAGAAGTAGAAGATGTTGTTGACGCTGTGGTATACCTCCTGAGTGACCGGAGTTCGATGATAACTGGGGCTGGACTACCCGTGGATGGTGGATATCTTACTGCGTAAAAAATGTGAATATCCTTATGTGGCTGTGAAATCCTTGTTTGGTCTAGTTGATATATTTTTAATGATGGAAAACACTCAGTCGCACAGTCTGAGATTGATGTTTTTGAACGAACAAATTTTCGTTCAGTATCTTTTTGTACAAACTAATAAATGTCTCATCTCTAAAATAATAATGCGTTATCTATGAGTTATCATTTGTGCAAAGACAAAATTGTATTATCTCTCCACGTATTTGTTTAAAATACTTATTATCGGAGATTACATTCAATCATAACATTGCAACTGCGATTCTAAGATTAAGGACTAAAAATAACACGATATAACTGATTGAAAACAATTCATGTTCAAACTTAACAGCTTCAACAGTTTTATTGTTATTGAATCGATTCTAAATCCATCGAAACGTACTCTGATCCAGAAAAGGCTGACCTCCTCAAAAATCTCACTCCATTGCATCGATTTGCAGGTCAATCGGTTTCAATTTTTTTTTTTTTTTTTTTTTTTTCACATCAAAAGTAACAAATAGATAAAATACGAAACTTTCGAAATATTTTCATGGCAAATAATGTATAAATTTTGTGTTCACTTTGCAGAAATAAACGAAGTAGTTGATACCGTTGCGTTTCTTCTCAGCGACAGAAGTTCCATGATCACGGGAGTTGAACTTCCAGTTGATGGTGGCTATCTTGCGTGTTAAAAAAATCAAACCATGGATGAGATTGTTGCACAAATTTTATGTACTTATATTTGGCAGATGCTCATAAACTATTATTATTTTACTTTTTTTTTCAGTTTAGTTAAAACTATTTCCTATCAGCCGTTTACAAGTGTTACAGATCGAATATTATTTATTATACGTGTGTTGGTGATAAATGCAAACACAGCTAGTTTTAAGCTATACAACTTAAGCTCCACTCTTTTAGTTTTGTTTATTCTTTNATTAATTAGTAAATTTTTAAAATTATTTGCAACCAAATAAATATTAGTTTGTTTGACGTACGCAGGTATTGGCAAGGAGATATGTTTGCGCCTATCAAAGTACAAAGGCACAGTTATTGCACTATCAAACAACAAAGAAAATCTCGACAAATTGTCAAAAGAATATCCTCAAATACAAATAATTTTTGTTGATCTTCTCGACTGGGATGCCACAAGAGCTGCTGTCAAAAACGTCCTCCCAATCGATTTGTTGGTCAACAACGCCGGAGTTGCCATTTTGGCGCCCTGTTTGAAAGCACCACCGCAACACTTCGATACTGTGTTTGGCGTCAATGTCAAAGCGATGCTAAATGTTTCTCAGGTCGTAGGACAGAACATGATTGAACGTAAAGTGGCTGGTCGCATCGTCAATTTGTCGTCTCAGGCTAGCGAAGCAGCCCTGGAGGACCACGTGGTTTATTGTTCGTCGAAGGCAGCTGTTACCATGTTGACCAAGTAAGTGTGGTTCGACCGAGAAATTGAAATTTCTCATAATAAAATCTTTTGGCTCGAGGTAAGATACAGAATTTTTTTTTTTCATAGAAACAATAATTTAAAAAAATGAAATGCATACAAGTCCAGGAAAGGGGGGTGACGTCATGTATCCCCACTCCCAACCTGATCACGATCTAAGCTCTACATTAGTTAATGTTTGTTCTTATAAAAAAAATTAAATACTTAATATTGTTTAATAACCTGTCTGGTAGATAAAATAGACTAGAACATTTTTTTCGTGCAACATTGCAATTTACGTTCTACGATACAGGTGCCTGGCACTCGAACTGGGTCGACACAATATTCGCGTCAACTGCGTGCAGCCAACTGTTGTTCTGACTGAGTTAGGAAGAAAAATTTGGAGCAAAGAAGACAAAGTTGCTGAGATGAAGAGAAAAATTCCACTGGGAAGATTTGCAGGTGAATGATTACTCTGGTTTGGTTGGTCGCATTAGGGCTATTACCATCAGGAGTCACATATACAAATGATACGATCGAAGCTATATATGTACTATTTTGTAATTTACAGAGGTAGAGGAGGTAGTGGATGCAATCGTTTATTTACTCAGCGATCGAAGCTCGATGGTAACTGGAATTGCTTTACCCGTCGATGGAGGATTTCTTGGTACATGAACATGTACATAGTAGATATAAAGAAATTGTATATTTTATAAACTATTTTTTTCATTTTCAAACATAGATGATGCGCTGATTACGCGTATTAAATATTTTTCATTATATTCTGAAATAAAATAATAATTAGTTAAATTTCTAGTCGTATCCAAACCCATATCGAGTGGTATGACGTCAGAAATTCTGAATTTTCTAGGGTCGGTTTTTAAAGGTTTGTAAAATGACGTCTTATTCAAAGTTTTACATTGCACAACGGAAAGGTAATAAATCACAAAAAATTCAGAACAACTGAAATCATAATCACATGATATCGATTTGAATGAAAATTTGATGATAACGCAAAGAAAATATTTTTTTTCTTCATTTACTTGTTATTTATTGACAGTATCATAATCAATGTATATTCAATTAGGAAAACTTTACCGATCGAAAGTATTAATTGACTGAATCCTGCTGCATGTAAGTTCTTTATTACATAGTTGTATGATTTTGATTAGCAGTCACATGCGTAAACAAGCTAAGGAAACACTAAAAAAAAATGAAAAAACAAATAAATAAAAAAAATTTGTCAAATAAATTTATTTCCAGAATACCATAGAGTAGTTATCGGAGGACTTTTAAATTCTGCATATTATTAACAATTTGCTGACTTTGTAAGATTAAATATAAATAAGTTATCAAAAACATCAATTTATACTATAAGGTAAATGCGGCTTATTTATAAATTTATTAACAATCTTCTGCTGAGTCTGCAGTACAGTAACACATCATAAGAATTAGTTATGGAACTATGTGCATTCGAGGGAGATTTTAAGGTAAAACTGACTTGTACTACTAGAATTTCGTTAAAAATCTTTTAAAGTTGAATTCTGTCTAAACAATCTGAAAATATCAGGTCCAGCTTTACCATCATTTTTTTTAAACTCAAGATAGTTTGAGTTTACTTATATAGTAAGCTGTAAAAATGGGTAACTGCAATAAAAGTTATCATTATTGTGGGATACTGTAATTACTTATGATTATACTCTTACCTCACTGCTGTTCAGAAATATTTTTTTAGTTTTCCAAAGCCTAGATTCACTTCAGTAAAATTACGGCAACTCCTAAAGTTAAGAGCAAGTTTGTAAGAGTAATACTTTCGTAAACAACAATGAACGTAACATGTACAGGATTAAGAAACTGTAAATGAACCATGTAATTACTAATTTATTAATTTAATCGGAAAATTTTTTCACCAGTGATTTCATAAAATGAAGAAAATACTATTTAACTTACAAAAAATTCGTATCTTCGTTCTTGTCTAGTTGTTTTCACGCACGAGCCTGTAATATAAAGCAACTGCTTGTTTGTTAATTTCATTACTCGCTTTGTTTGTCGTCACGACGCAAAGTATTGTTGAAAAAAAAAAAAGCAAAAACATGAATATCACTTTCGAAAACAAACGTATTCTGGTGACAGGTGGTTGCCAAGGTAAGCGTCACGACTCGTACGAGGTACTTTGTACTTATTCACGATAACCCGAAATTTATCACTTTAGGTATTGGTAAGGGAATATGCCTACGATTGTCCGAGTACAAGGGCACAGTCATCGCGTTGTCCAACAACAAAGACAACCTCGCCAAACTGTCCCAAGAGTACCCAAACATCCGGACCGTGTGCGTGAATCTACTCGATTGGGATGCGACGAGAGAAGCCGTGAAAAGTGTCCTGCCCATCGATCTACTGGTGAACAATGCCGGGATAGGATCTCACGGGTCTTGGCTTAAGGTGACGTCCACAGATTTCGACGACACGTTTGGGGTGAACGTCAAGGCGATGTTCAACGTATCTCAAGTTGTCGCGCAAAATATGATCGAGAGAAACGTGAAATCAGGTGCCATTGTCAATTTGTCGTCGCAGACTGGCGTGACAGCGCACAAGGATTTTACCGTTTATTGCTGCTCAAAGGCTGCCGTTACTATGTTGACAAAGTGAGGGTAGTAAGAAGAGATCTAGAAAGCAACTTATTTGAATCGGACATAAAACTGAATAACCAGACTTTGAGCTGAACAGCCAGGCGCGTTCGCAGTGCTGACACCTGACCTATACGCAAATTATGACAGTAACTATGAGACGCTAAAAGTTAATGCTTAACTGAACTTTAGAATTGTAAAGTCAATGAAGTATAGAAACGCAAAATTCACGACAATAAACGGACGATCTTAGACTTCACCTCACTGTCCTAAGTTTGGATGATAAGGTTATCAGGTTTACGTAGCTTAAGCCTAAATTAATTTCCGTAGTAAGTCTCGCATGTGTCAGTTGCTAGCATTACGTATAAGTACAGTACACATCCGATATCCGGCTAGTCGGTTTTACGTATCATCACCCAAAGTTTAATGCTTAAGTCATAAGTTCTTAAAAATTATTCGTTTATTTTTTAACTCGACAAAATTTTGTAGGTCACTTGCACGGGAGTTGGGACCTCACAATATTCGAGTTAACTGCGTACAACCAACTTTGGTGATGACGGATTCGACAAAAAATTTTATCAAAGATATTAAAAAAGCCGAGGATATGAAGAACAGAATTCCCTTGGGTCGCTTTGCAGGTACATACGGATTTCTATTTTTCTCCGTTAATGTGAAATTATTTTTGAGGAACAAAAATGGTCATGTAAATAAAAAATTACAGAAGTAGAAGATGTTGTTGATGCTGTGGTATACCTCCTGAGTGACCGGAGTTCGATGATAACTGGGACTGGACTACCCGTGGATGGTGGATATCTTACTACGTAAGTTTCCGTAAAAACTGAGAATGCCTTCATAAATCACGGAAAGTAAAAATTTAATCGTTTTTTGTTCCAGTAAATCTATTTTGGATAATGTAAAACATTAGGGCTCACTATTTTTAGAAAAAAATATTTGTAAAAGATATACCTCAAACAGATTAATAAAACTTGCAACTATGGAAATATGTTAAATGTGTATTTAAAATTAATCCTCTGTTGACGTTGTATATTTAAAAATAGAAAGATAATCAAAGGACGTTAAAATCACAGTTACTAAAAACTGGATATTGTTGATTCTTCGATTTATCAACTCACACCCAAACAAAATTCGGTTTGTATAACGAAGCCGTTATCAAACATCTACTGAGACTGCAGTAAAGTGTCACCTTCGAAAATAAACTTGAAACTGTTAGTGACGGGTTGTTTTTCAGATAAGTTTTTTTATCATTGCATTTCATACTTTTTATCCATCAATTTGTTGGATGGAGGGAGAATTAAAAATTTAATCCAACATTCAGTGTTGATTCCTTGGTACAAAGTGTTACAATATACTTACAGCATGTACATACAAAATCGTCGGATGATAAGAGGTGTTGAAATATATTGACTGTAACAAACGAATAAATTACGTTACCCAAATTCAAAAAATCATGCAATAAAATACAATAAGTCTGATTTTGAATCGTAGATGATTTATGGTTGATTGTACACGAAAATCTGCTGCTACGTTATTATCATCTTTATCTCAAGTAAACTTGACCTCTTGGTTCTCAGTTACATATACACACACATAACGTGTCTCCGTTGTACCAATGACTGATCTCCTCAGTCCTCACCGTACGTACTATTGGTCTCCCTTTCCATCAGCACATTTTACTCACACAAAAGCAAGATTCTCATAGCAGTAATACACACAGTGCAGCTCTATAGAGTTGGAAAGTTTGGTGTTTTCAGTGTGAAAAATTTCCTTAAATTAGACAAAATGAACATTTCCTTTGAGGGCAAGCGAATCCTTGTCACGGGAGCCGGTCAAGGTAACGTTGCTGAATATACAGTTTATCTTCATTGTTCGTTGACTATTGACGTTTGTTGGATGCACATGTATTTACTGTAAATTAATACCGTTTTCAGTTTTACAATCCTTTTTGTAATTCATCTTTTTAAACATACGAGAGTTGAAAAAAACAAAACGAAAAAAAGATAGATGCTTATTGCAAATGGCTTTCAATGTACATTGCTGCTCTTACATTTTTAGTATAGAGTAACGATATTGTAGTATACACATATTGGTGACCCACTTTCAAAAAATGTATATTTCAGTCGTAGAAATCCGATTGGTTCAAGCAAAAAAAAATCCCAAATGAATATCATTTTAGTGAATGACTAATGATATATGGCAATAAGAATTAATAAAGTCTATATTTGAAACCGAGAGAGTAAAACTTAATAACTGTAACTGTTATTTGTTTTTTTTTTTTTTTTTATTTATTTTTTTTTTTTTCAATTTCTACTAGCTTTACAACTTGTAC